GTCCACACTACAACTACATTTAGCCGACACTTTTATCCAAAGCAATTTACAATTGCTATACATGTCAGAGGTCGCACGCCTCTGGAGCAACTAGGGGTTAAGTATCTTGCACAGGGACACAACGGTGGGGGATTGAACCTGGGTCTCTCACACCAAAGGCATAGTCTTATCCATTGTGCCATCACCACCCCAGGGAACGCTTTCCATGTTAACATGTTAGCATGAGTATCAAACACTTTCTTTCAAGCCTGCACTAGATAAAACACTTTGGCATGGCTAGCAAACACTTCAGCAATTAAATTGTCCATGCTAACAGTATGACTACTTACCTCTGTTCAAGCAAACTTGATCTGTCAAACCAAGACTTTAACACAACCTGTTGGCAGTTTCCATGCTAACACTGTAGCATTTAAATCTCCAAAGCAAACACATTTGCATGAGCTACATGAATCAGCTGATCCTGCAAAACCTTAAATAAAATATCTTGACATGCGGAACGAAAGAATCTTAGGCTCTTAAGAAGTGAATCAGAGTAAGCATATATTACCCGGTCCTTTCTCATCAAACCACAGCAGAACATTTACTGAACATCACAAAGCCAGCCCTTATGTACCCTCCCATGTGTGGCCTTATTGTGTGGACTAAACCATTGGTGGGAGAGCTCAGTATAAAGACACATAAAGAAACAATTTGGTCAACTATAAAAATTCACCATTTGTCCAATTATGGTGTTACAAATCAATAAGCAGGTGCTGAGATGAACATATCTATGGCTGGTAGCTTCAGAAAAACACTCGTCTTTAAAAATACAAATATTTTCCCACCCCTCTTAATTATGGTGTAACCAGGAAGTACTATATACATACAATTAAAATCCTGGTAAAACTCTTTTGGTGATTTAGTGTAAGTAGACATTGGACTAAGAGCTGCTAGTTTGTGTGATTGTTCAGTAATGCAGTTACAAGTTTTAATTTCTGGACAATATAAACATGTTTTGGTTTGTGGACAACTTAGACGTTTGATGAAGCCTGGTTTGTTTTCTGGAAGAAGAATCAGAGCTGTGCATTGTTTTGTCGACTCTCCTAGTCTGAGACAAGGCGCATTCTTGTACCTGAGGACTAGAACAGAGGTAAGAACAGCTCACTACTTTTATGTTGTATGTTTAACAGTATTGGTTACATTTATAGAACCATAAAACTAAACAGTCGGCGTGTACACAAAAACTGTGCACCTACAAATCCTTGTATGTTGGAAAAGCACCAACTTTAATGCACACACATCATGTCGTATACAGTACCATGACATGGAGGAAAGTCTCCATCAAATACACTTAAAATTATTAAAACGTAGTGTTTGAAAGAGCAGTAGTTATAGGTCCTTGTTAACAAAAGACTGACCTTCTCAAATACAAATGTGTGATGAATGGTGTATGTTAAAACAGTATTTTTAAAGAATCAAGTATCAGTTAGTACTATGTACTATCCCCCACCTATGATGGTCATAATACATGCTTTGTTATCATAAATTTATTGCAGATTTGGAAAATACTCCATTGGTTGTCTTCAGATATTTTATAACAGAAGCAGAGGTCAATGGAACTAATTCACATTCATAAACAGAACAGAAATACCAGTAAGCCACGTCTACAAAGCTATTTTTAGAAACACAACCAGTAAAAGTAATTCTCCTTACTGGAGTCGGTCTGCTTTCATGAAATCTCCTCTTGACTGAATTATCAAATTAACTCATTCAAAAAGAATCGCAGATTGGTTTTTGATGCTTTTTGAGAAGCTTGTTAGTGCCTGATTAGGACGAGTTAAGTAGAAATGATCTTCAGTGTCTGACATGGAATATGAGAGAGAGACAGATGGAGATAGAGAGACAGCCGATGCTAAAATGGTGCAAGCAACTTTGAGGTTTCATTGCTTTTTGTGACTGGTATCTGCAGTGCAGCAATCTGCAGCAGTCTGGCTGCACTAGCTTTAAAGGGCTGTTAAATCAGTCAATCATCTGTGAAATACATTTAACTATGAGTTTGTTTACGTATCGATAGCTAACGTTGGTGCCAATGCCACTGGGACTTACGTTAGCTAAATAACCATATTGTGAAGAGTTTGCTGCACTTTAAACAGGTTAGCTAGCAAAGTACATGAATGTGGGTGTGATAGCTAACGTTAACAAGTTAATTTATTGGTATGCCAGCTGACAATAACTGGACACAGATTTTGATTTCGTAACAGTTTAATTAGACAATTTTGACAGTAGTTATCTATTTGAAGTGTACACATTTAGTTAACTTTCTTTGTCAATATTTCTATTATTATTTGGTTCATTAACTTGTTGCTTCTCATGCAATGAAGTTTTCCTTGAGTTACCATTTCCCAGGGGTGACTGCTGGAGCTGTCTGGTGGGTCAACAAAAGGAGTTCTGGCTGATTCCAACCTGCTTGAATGGTTGATAGATAATTGAACTGCACCATGTTGTCCAACATCATGTGGAGGGGCAGTGTTTTCTAGTCTGATAAAACATAATAAACATATGCTTAAAAGCATTTCAACTAGTTTTGTGTTGGAGTTTGTGTCATTTTAAATTTTGCCACTAAGATTTAAATTTTTACTGCAAATGTAAATCGTTCCAAATACTGGTTATTGGTCTCCTTGATTTTCCCTGATATCAAAAACATCAGCCTGTCAGTCAAAGTTATTTGTATAGAAAGTAAAAATTGTAAGCTGAGGTTAAGTTGATTAGTATGAATATAGAGAATAATTATGGTTACTATAACATGTCATATCACACTACAATGCAACACTACATCACACATGGCTGTGCTTTTCATCCACAGATCACAGATGAACGTATCTGAGTATCTGCTATAAAAACAGGTGTAAATGCTCCAAACAGCAATTAAAATAAGAGGGAAATCTGATCTGCTAAACTACTTCTTGAGATGTGTCAGATGTTACACTTTTGTTACTGTATCTCCTTTCCAAGTGAAATATGTTGACTAAGAATCCTAACACTGCATAGGGAAATCCCCTGAGCTCAGATATCAACTTTAATCTTTTACTCATCTGTTATTCCTGAAGGACTAAAGGTTCACAGTCTCTTAAAGGTTCAGTGTAATGCAATATAAGATCCATAACTATGTTTTCAGTGCTGTTTAAAAAGTGGTGTTTACGTTCTTCGTGATCTCCTTCTGGTAGAATTCAGCTAGTGCAGACACTCATCATTACGTTGAATATGTGTGTTAGAAGAAGAAGAAGAAGAAGAAGAAGAAGTAGTAATAATATACAGCAGGGGTTTTCAAATAAGTTTTACATCGCAGCAATATTTTCAACCATTAGATGGTAGATGAGAATATATAAAGAAAATACAGAAATAAGTAAGCAAATGGAAAAACAAACAAACAAAACATCGGGCAGGGATGTCAAAGATTCAAGATAATGGAGAGAGGTCTCCAAGTTGTTTCAAATGACTTTAGGGAGCCACTGAGGGGAAATCTGAGCTTTTCAAGTCTAATGGACAGTAACACCTCTTTCACCCACCTGTTATGAGATGGAGGTTGAGGGTGTTTCCACTTGAGGAGTATGAGTCGCCTGGCCAACAGGGTGGCAAAGGCAAGAACGGTCTGCATGACTTTAGAAGCAAAAGGCTGCAAAGGGGCACCGAACAAAGCCAAGAGAGGTTCAGGAGTGATAGTAGTGTTATACGCTGTGCTAAGAGTTCTGAAGACTTCAGACCAGAATGTGGCAAGCCCAGGACAGAACCAGAACATATGGGAATGGTCAGCTGGGGATTGTTTGCACCTGTCACAGGAGTCAGATACATTGGGTTAAATCTGAGACAGCCTCAAATTAGTGTAATGAACTTTGTGTACCACTTTGCACTGTGTCTCGCACAGATTGAAGAGGAATGAGCTAACCGTAAAACTAGTTTCCAATAATCATCAGGCAGCGTGGTTCCAAGCTCCCGCTCCCAAGAGTCCTTGGGACCGGACGCTGGGGTGTCAATAGTTGAATTGATAAGGCTGTAGATGCTAGAAATTAGCCGCTTTTGTCCAGGAACAAGAGCCAATAACGAATCAACCAGAGTTTCTGGAGGATTGACTAGGGAATTTGGGGTTCTGATTCCTTATCTGGAAAAAAATTAAATAGGTGGGAGTTAGGCAAACCAAATTTCTCTGAGAGCTCAGAGAAGGACATAAAGGTCCCTTGGTAGTAAAGGTCTTTAAATTTAGTTATCCATTGGTCAAACCAAACCCGAAAAACCAAATCAGTGCAAGAGGGCAGAAATAGGTGATTATTTACAATGGGGGAAAGGTCTGTGCATCTATGAAGGCCTAGGCCTTTCCTAATTTAAATCCAGATTTTAACAGGGTGAGCTACCATTGGGTTTGAGGTAAAGTTGGAGGCAGTCAAAGGGAATTGGGAGCAAACCAGGGAATGAAGTGAGAGTTTAGAGGCAAGTTCCATAGCTACCCATGCAGGTCGCTCTTGAGGTGGTGACCTTTAAATACATGCTGCATGTCTCTCACAATCCTTATCTTATGAGTCACTGTAACCTCTGAACATTCACGTTGTAAATGTTCGCTGGTCTGAATAAATAGTAAATAATTGCAGATATTCCACTCTATAATAAGTCGGCTAAATGAATAAATGATCAAATGAAATTACCATGTATATTCAAGGTCAAATTTAGGCTCAATGGTCAAATTTTAAGGTCAAGCTTTTCTAAATATCATTTGATTAAAAAAAAAGTATTCTCTTTTCTCTGTATCATGCAGAACCAATATGATCAACAACTCTTGTCAACCGTTTGACCTACAGAATCACGTCTCCCCTTTCACTCCAGCGCGCACATAACCTACGCAGCGACATAACCACAGCCAAGTGAATCATGTTGGACAAATGAAGAGTGACAATGACGGGGGGGGGGGACTGAACGATGCTTCCTTCACTTCAGGGATAAAGAGGAGGGGAGGGACTTGACCAGACCGGGATAATGTCCGCTGTGAGTTCAGGCAGAGCGGCATAGCGCAACATCTCCGCTGCGGACTCCGCTCAGTCCGGTCAGGCTCCGCGCTGTCTCTCCAAATATCTACAGGGTCTCCTCACCTCTCCACGAACCCCCTTCCGGGCTCCCCACTAGGTTTCTCCACTTTCCCGCGGCTCTCTTTCGCTCTCTCTCCACAGTCTATCCCCCCGTGTCTCCAGGCGCGCACCGCAGCTGCTTGTTTGCGCACGGACACTTTCCCACTTGTATCAGCTGCGCTCGGTTTATCAGTGCACCCCTCTGAAGAGTCCCGAGCTTCAGATACGTCCCCTAGTTTCTTTTTTCAGGTTGAGTAATTAGTTTCTGTTGAGTTCCGGCTGAAGAACAATGTGATTCTGGCAGGTGGGGATTAGTGTCGTGACATGCTAGGACCCGGCGTCTCCACACGGAAATGGTGAGTTAAACCCGCTTTATTCTCACATATTATCAGACTACTGGACGCGTTTCCAGATCGTTTGTCTCCAGTATGAGCGGTTGACCCGTGTAGATAAGGTTTCGCTCACAAGCCAGAGGAATGATGACCTTCCTCAAATAATAAAATATAAAAATCACTTTTAATATATTTCTATTATAAGTTTGTGGTACTCACATGTGAGATTAAAGTCATATTGGAGGTATTTGAAACCCCCTAATGGGTAACAATGCAATTAGATTCCCATATGAGATATAATATAATAATAATAATAATAATAATAATAATAATAATAATAATATTATAATTGTTATAGGATCTTGTGATGGTAATTTCAGGGGTAGTGATGGTATGTGTGTGTTTCATTGGATCCCATTATGTTAAATAACAGATTTTAGTTACCAGAGTTAGCTTTCACTGTTAGAGTGAAATGCAGAAAGCATTGTAGTCTATAGTTTTCACGGGGTAAGTGTTTTGACCTCCATGTGTAGAAACCCCCACATCCCCGCTTAATATTTTCCTGTTTGAATGCGAATTACATAGTTATCCATACATGTTGTTCTGGGGGTGAGGCTGCAGGGCTGCGTGCCGCTGATCCTTTTTTCCGATCAGTAATCTATAGATGACGGAGGTAACTTATAGATCCACAGTGCACTAACTGTCAGGTGTCACATGTTCTGTTCCTGTAAGTGAACAGTCCCTCATAAAAAATCACTAACATGTTATTGGGAGTAATTGTATTCCTGTGGTTTTCAGTTAAGAGGAACACCAACTAATTTCCTCGATTGTTTTAGTTTTACTCTCATTTAAGTAATTTGTACTCTTTTATTTTATGGATATGTTTTCAACTCTTAGTTTCTTCTTACACTGAGATTTCCCTTGTTCCGGTCAAAGGAGATCCTGATGAATCATATTTTCACCAAATAACTTGTGTTGTGCAGTGTATTGCAGATTTCTTTCAAAGGCAGTTAAGTCTTTTACAAGTTTATATTTTTGAGGGAGGAATTAGTAAAATTCTCAATGAGCTTCTGGGTGTTACATTTTAGATCTGACAGCTGCAGTTTATTCCGGTTCAGGTTGTGTTGTGAAACAGTCTAAAACTCCTTCCCTTGTACTTGACTAATTTTACTGTGCAGTTACTTCAGATTATTATGGTTATGTAATATTTATGGAACAGAAATGCAAGGAATCAACGTCCCTCGATCAAAGGTGCTGGTACAGCATGTCGTGGTATTGACTGATATGATGATCGGAGGATCACAGTTGTATCATTTACAGTTCACACTCTCTCCCGCTCGCCCACAACCAGTCAAAGCCTGCAGATAAAGAACCGTGTGAGATGGATTGGAATGCAGCCAGCAGATTACTAGCAATTTTACAGTCAATGCAAATCGCTTCAACTGTAAGTTATACATCAAGGTGGGCGTCAGGACTCCTCACTTCACTCAAAAACACTGTCTTGTTTCTTTTCCGCCTACCTTAGACCTGCAGATGTGCACGCACACCTTATTTTTACACTGGAACAATACACTTATAGTCAGGAGTGCACACAGGGACATCTTATTTTAGAAGAGATGAATAAGAAATAGTTGCTGAGCACCAACAGCAGCAGCTCTCGCAGTTTTTCTTGAATTGACTTTTGGATGTGAATCTCTCCTCCCACATGATAACAAGGAGAAGCTTTTCTCCAGATGCGTCTGTGAAAATGTCGAATTGTATTGCTTTGCTTTCCTGTAGTGCTCAAGTAGTGTTGTTGAGTTTTTTTGTATATCAACCAGTGATAGCCTTATAACTATGTATGTACGTATACATATATGCATACATTTGTGCATCAGTGTTTGCATGTTGACTGAGGCTGAGTTTGCACTGGATTTGAAATAAGCCTTTAAAGAAACATATTGTTTTTTAAGCTGTAGAGTTAGTCCAGTTAAGATTGTCGCCATGACACAAGATGTGATCAAACCCACAGTTCATTTGTGAATTATCAAGTAAACTGCCAATCATTTGCTATTTGGTACAGCTTTATCTTGAGATAAAAGATCAGTCTCCGGAAAGTCTTTGTTGAGAATTTGTCATTAATTCAGACATTCCTAACCCTACTTGGGTTGGCACACGCCCCACAGTTTCATGGACGTAGCTTTGGTTGGACAGTATCAGATTTTAATTTTCAACCATTGAACTGCCCCAATCAATTCTTCTTTCAAAGTATTTTTCTTCTTCACGTAAAAGCTGTATTAAGAGATTTTTTTGTCCACTAGAGGGCAGAATGTATACTTTAAAACAGACTCAGCAACAAACCTCAACCAACATGTTGAGATTTTACAGCAAACGTCTTAGCACACTTCTTTCTTGCTGAGCAGGTCACGTACCACCATGTAGTTTGAACTTGTGTGCTAGCCAGGCACAGTTATGTTTAGGGGGTTGGCAAAAGCTGTTGACTGACTTTAACCTGATAGATCAGCACACCAAAAACAATGAGATGAAATTGGTTGAGAGCTTAGAGAAGCTGTGGAGTGGGGGTGGAGTTGAAGGTGATTATCAGTAATATATGTCTCTTGAGAGCTTAAGTCGGAGCACTTGGGATAATTCATGCTTATCTCAACAGTGAATTGAGGAAAGTGTGATGTGCTCTTTACGCTGACACGAATGGTTTGTCTGTCCTCTTCAACATCCTGCTGTTCCTGTGATCAATGTGCAAGTATAAGCTATATTTAGTCATTTTATGTTTCAGTAGTGTAAAGGACAGTCAAGTCATATGTCAAAGTAATTGTCAAAGTATTGATTAATTAGGTAACACAGAGACATGGTACAGAAAAAAAGTAGCTGGCATTTGGTGTAGGACATGCAGAGCTGTATATTACCTAACATATTGACACTGCACTTTGTGTTTATGTTAACACTCAGGGACTTGATTTACAGTATGACTGAGGCTGCAGGCAGAGATGGTCCACTGGTGCATGGGATAATTAAAGGCACATAATAAGGTGTGAGAGAGAGAGAGAGAGAGAGATAGAGAGATAGATAGATAGATAGATAGATGCAAATATTCCGCAAACATAATGGTGACCCACATTCTTCACTGGCAACGCTGGCAGTAATGGGATGTTCATATTCTGCAGGGGAAAGTAACAATGTAAGCAGCTGGTGTATCTGGCTTTTAACCTGTCTCACACCAGCAGTCAGTGAATTTAAAATTTTGTTATTTAACGATGATGACAATCTTACTTACCATATGTTCTGCCCTAACCAATCAGCAGCAAGTAAAACCAGTTAATTTTGTAAGTCAACTGTGTCTCAGCATGCGTATTTTTGTTGGAAACAGCAGCTAGTGAGCCCAACACCAGATGTATTTCAACACTGAAGAAATTGGAGACGTAGGCAGGAATTGTAGTAGTTAAGAACAGGCTAGTTTTGAGTAGCTAGTGATTACTTAGATTTTCCCTATGAAACATTAATGCAGATTAACATGAATTTATATGTAAGAGATACAGTTAAACATACAAATAGACATGACATTACATACAGAAACAGCATTGTGGTGATCTATTTCTGACTTTATCTTGAAGTGTTTTAATAGAGGTTAATAGAAGCACACATTAAAGGAAGAAAAGAACATGTGTTCAATCAGCTGAAGTTCACCAAAAATAAAGATGTGGAATTGCAAGGTTTTCATTTGACAAGCGCGCACACACACACGCACACACACGCACACGCACACGCACACACACACACACACACACACACACACACACACACACTAATCTGTCTTGTGCTTTCTGTCTCTCTCTCTCTGTCTGTGTCTCTCACCCTCTGGTGCTTAGAGTGATCAAAATAAGCTTATGCAACAATCCAGCAGTTTAAGTCAATAACTGAATATGCTGGACGACTACTCACAAAGTCACACACACACACACACAAACACATCTGCTAAGAATCAATAGTGAACTCCCTCTCTCTCCCTCTACGTCTGCTGTAGTCTTCACACCTCACAGGGTGACAGCAAAGTTCTCAGGGGTCGGGCTGCGTAATTAACTGTATTAATCATCATCATTTTAACAAGCTTGATCAATTACAACATTTGCATTTACATCACCACATATTCTGTAACCAGTGACAGTGTTCTGTGATATTAGAAAAGACACTTAAGACACAAACGTTATATCCAACCCCATATCTGACCCCAATTCAATTTATTTTTAATCACATTCTCATAAAGTGGTGGATATTACATTGATGTATAATATAGTACAGGTAAGTCTGAACAATGTCTATACAACCCCACCCCATTTCCCCCCTCATCCTTTTATTATTGTGAACAGGTATTATTTGAGAGCTGGCCATTATTTGAATAAAAGCTTTTGTATAGGGATTTACGGTTTATGGTTATAATAAATACTTGAGCTAGCTGCTTGAAATACTGGTCCAAGCCAGTACTTGACTACACATGTAGTAGTATTGTGTATGGAGAAAAAAAGCACACATAACACCAACTTCAAACATGAGAATGCAGTGTCGGTGCTGAAAATGGGATCTGCATATTGTTCAGCAGAGTCAGAATGTTTCCGATCCACTCAGCCTGTTGTACGCGTCGGAGCTGCTGAATAGAGGTAATTACCTCCAGTCCTTGATGCACGTCGCTGTCAGATCTGCTTCTGAACGCAGCTTCAGCTAAACGGACTGAGGCTCTGGTATCACACCGTCCTTCACAGGATTCAGGGAGAGCTGACAGTGCGGGAGGAATCACAGCATCTGCATAAAGGATGAGGATTAAAAAAAAGAGAATTCTGTTAATTTAGAAATGAGTGAGAAGGAGCGCTGTCTATGAGGAAGTAAGTTTGATTTCATTATCAGCCTTAGGATCACTGTGTGTAGGAGTAACCTTATAGCTTTGCACAGTAAACACAGTAGAGAGGGTCATTGTCATCGACACTAGTTTTGCAAATTCAATCAGTTGTGAAGAGATAAGTAGAGCTGCAGTCTAT